ATATATATATATATATATATATATATATGCAGGCTACTAAAATCCTTGTATGGCTTGAAATAAGCCTCAAGACAATGGAATATAAAGTTGACAAATGCACTTCTTCAAGCTAGTTTTATGCAAAGCAGTTATGATCACTCCCTATTCACAAAGAAAAGCAACAAAAACATTGTGGTTGTTTTGATATATGTTGATGATTTGCTAATAACAAGAAGCAGTAACAGTCTTAGTGAAGAGGCAGAGGCAACATTACTGTCACGACCCAAATCCCGACCCTGGTCGTGATGGCACATCTCGTGAAGACAAGGCCAGCCAGTCTAACCCAACTCGTCCTTTAAAACAGTAATTTAACACAAATATAGTATAAACATGGTTTAATAGTACCAAATAGCAGAAAGTATGAATAAGAAATGCGGAAATCCAGCCCGACACAACCCTAACTGGGGTGTCACAAGTCACGAGCATCTACTAGGGCATAAATACAACTGAAAGCCTGGAGTGTACAAATACAGACTAATGAAATGAGGATAGAGAAAAGCAGTACTGCGAACGCCGGCAGCTACCTTGCTAAACTCTGATGACTCTTCCTCCGATAAGCCAAAACATACCTGAATCTGCACACAAGGTGCAGGAAGTAATGTGAGTACTCCGACTCTGTGAGTAATAATGATAAATAAAGACTGAAGGCAATAAATCACGCAAAAACACTAGGCATTCCATACTGAAGTAGTAAAATCACTTTAAACAGTAAAGTAGTGAGAAATAAAGTGAAAATCCCTTTTTCCAACAAGTAAAGCAAGTAGTTTACAAGTAACAAAATGATGGAAATGTAAACAGCCCCTCAGAAAACATGTACAACAAATCGCCCCTCGGGCATAATATTAATAGAACCAGCCTTTAGGGCTCAATATCAGAACAGTGTCAGCCCCTCGGGCTCAATATTAGAACAGTAACAGCCCCTCGGGCTACCTCACAATCAGTCATATCAGCCCCTCGGGCATAGTATCAATCACTCAGAACAATGGGTATCCGCGCTCACTGTGGGTGTGCAGACTCCGGAGGGGCCCCTTACGGCTCAAGCGTTATATCAAGCCACCTCGTGGCATCATCTCTCAGCACTCGGCCTCAAATCACTCGGCACTCGGCCTCACATCACTCAGGCTACCTCGTGGCATATAAAGTATCTCAGGCCCTCGGCCTCATATCACTCAGCATATCCTCACATATGACCCTCGGCCTCACTCAGTTCGAAAATCATCACAAGCCTCTTGGGCATTTGTAAAATATAAAGTATCTCAGGCCCTCGGCCTCATATCACTCAGCATATCCTCACATATGACCCTCGGCCTCACTCAGTTCGAAAATCATCACAAGCCTCTCGGGCATTTGTAAAACAATAGTCCTCAGCACAAAACAACATTTAGAAATATCATTTAAGTTTCAAATCTGAGTAAAAGTGGCTGAGTTCGTAAAATAGTAGATATCAACAGGACTGAGTTCAAGTAATGAGTCAAAACAGTGAGGAAATAGTGATAAAAATTTTTGAAGGGTTCAAATAGTTGGCACGAAGCCGAAATATGACAATCAGCCCAAATCATGATGATAACAAACAAATTTCAGTCAAATACGCGGTAAAATCATCGACTAGGACGGACCAAGTCACAATCCCCAGTAGTAAAAGACCCCACGCTCATCATCCAGCGCGTGTCTCACCTCAATATAGCATTATGATGTGCAATCCGGGGTTTCAAACCCTCAGAATATCATTTACAATCATTACTCTCCTTGATCCGGTCCAAAATCTAGCCCGCGATGCCTCGCCCGCACGAATCGACCTCCGGATGCTCCAAATCTAGCCACAATCAATGCATAATCATTAAAATATGCTAAGGGAGCGAAGCCCACTCGAAAATATCCAATTTAACATCAAAATCCCGAAATTGCTCAAACCCGGTCCCCGGGCCCACGCTTCAGAATTCGACGAAACTCACAAAATCCGACAACTCATTCAACCACGAGTCCAACCATACCAAAATTACTAAATTCCGATAACAATTCGGCCTCCAAATCTTCAAATCTTATTTTCAAATCCCTAGGTCCAAATCCCCAATTTACACCTCAAAAACATGTAATCTAGTCGGATTATTCGATGATAATTCAATATTATGGAGTAGAAATGATCACAAGTGACTTACCTCAAGATTTCCCATGATTTCTTGCTCAAAAATTGCCCCAAGCCGTGTTCTTTCACCCAAAAAAAAGGTCAAAATGAGCAGAAAAATGCAACAACTTTAATAAATCTGATTCTGGTCGCTAAAGGACCCATTCCCGTCGCTAAAAGTCCCAAATCTGGTCGCTAAAGGTGCGCACCAGATCCTGCTGCACCAACAATATTTATTTTCACTAAAAAGGCTCTAACTCCACCATACGAACTCGGAGTTCGATGATTCTTGTTCCTATGAGTCACAAATAATGATACGAACATAGTCCTTCAATTGAAACTCAATTCGAAGCTCGTTTGCTTAATGCGATATCCATTTCCCCTCTTAAACAATTAACTCATTATTCGCGAAAAAACCCAATCGCGACTTGATGAAATTAGACCAAACTTTCCAGATCACTCCTATAATTCATTATCAAAATTTTGGAAGTCTCAAAATCAAATTTCGATCTCTAGAACTAAAAATGGACCTTTGGATCATTACATGCGTATGCTCAAAATGCCAAAAATCTTTCAAAAACTCTTCCAAAACATACCCGAGCCTCATGGGACCCCGGCCAAACATGCCAACACACCCCATAAAATAATTCAAACTTGTTCCAACCTTCGGAATGCTCAAAAAAATATCAAAACATCAAATCACCATCGGATTCAAGCCTAAGAATTCCAAAACTTCCGAATTCCGAATTCAATCAAAAAGTCTATCAAACCCCGTCCGAATGACCTGAAATTTTGCGCACACATCACAAATGACACAGCGGACCTACTCCCATTTCCGGAGTTCCATTCTGACTCTGATATCAAAATCTCACCTATCAACAGGAAAACGCTGAAATCTCAATTTCGCCAATTCAAGCCTAAACCTTCCACGGACTTGAAAAATGCATTCCGATCACGCTCCTAAGTCTCAAATCACCTAACAGAGCTAACCAAACCATAAAAATTCTAATCCGAGATCAAATACAAACAAGTCAAATCTTGGTCAAACCTTTCAAATTTTAAGCTTTCAACTGAGACTGTTCTTCCAAATTCATTCTGATTAACCTGAAACCCAACACCAACGATTTACATAAGTCATATTACAACACACGGGGCAAGTCATGACCGAGAACTGGCGAGCAAAGTGCAAAAGCTCAAAACGACCGGTCGGGTCATTACATCCTCCCCCACTTAAACATACGTTCGTCCTCGAACGTGCCCAGAGTTGTTTTAAAAGCCAACCAATTGCTGAATAAACTCACCATGCGCATACCTGGGGGTGATCCCATGTCACCCTATCTCACATAGGTACGATAATACAATATAACTGAAATTTCACAATCCATCCTAGTGCATAAAACATAGAACCACATTTCCACTTCTAAAATCATCAATACGATCAGAATCTCACATTTATACTATGAATAAGTCCGAACAAGTTGTAACAAACCATCTATGCTATCTCAGGTGCAATCACATGATGTACCACATAACTCAAACACTTCTAGTGATAACTTCTAATCACAGCAGCTACACACAACATCCGTATACCGATAGGAAAACTCTTATCAACTAAAATCTCATCCCAACACTTTCATATACTGCCAATAATTACTAGAACACGCAGTAAGCCATAATCATTTTCCAGATCAACCATTCGTGAAGCCACTTCTCCTTTGGCGAATACCATAGCAAATTTCTTAGCCGAAGCTCGGTATTATCCTTCCAATATGCTGAAATCGAACCCGTTCGTATTCATTAATGATCCCAACGATCTCCTTTAATCCTACACACTACTATGGTGACATGACACATCAGTACAGGCCTAAGCCACCCCTTGCATAATACGTGCACCAATAAACAACAGTCTGAACATATCTCCAATCATGAAAATGACTCAAATGAAAGAGTTGTACCTCAAGCTCACCAGTACCACCACAATGCAAGGCTGAGAACCCATCTCACATCATAGAAATAGAACACATGAATCTAACCTGCAAGGTCATACCTCCACATAACTTCGTTGCGATGCGCGATCCTATCCAACACTGTTCCACATGAGCCATCTCAAGCCACTATGCTCGAAATCGATAACCACACACAATTTAATGTCTGTAACTAAAGCAAACCATCATACCCATGGTATAGCAAATAACCTACACCACACAAACCCGAAAGGACATAACCAATACACAATTCACCGAGTAACACCCAATTTCTCTTCCCGCTCAACTTCCGCTATGAAACCCCAATAGAACCGCACCCTAGGTGCCTACAACTGACAAGTCACAACACCTATCCCAACAATACAATTCGGAGCCAACCAAGCCGACTCAAGTTAGAACACGCATCCACATTGGCCTGCCAACGAACTCATTATCAAGGAAATCCTGAAGCTACTCCTTCGACTCCTTTAACCCTGCCAGTGCCATACGATACAGTGCTCGACATCAAATTAATACCGAAATGAACAACCTTGCCTGGCGACATGCCCGACCACAAGAAAACACATCTGAAAAGTCCCTCACCACCGGAATTGAAACAATATGAGGAGCCTCAGCACTGACATCCATCACGAGAACCCAAATAAGGAAGACGATCCTTCCCAGCTATCCGCTGGGTCTTTGAATATAAACCCATTCTGCTAGAACATAATCCGTCGAACCACGGCACTCAATCCATGGCATTTTCGAAATAGCCAACAGCGCCGCCTTAGCGTAATAGTCCAGAATGACATAACACAGAGACAACCAGTCTTAAACCAATATCATATCCAAAATCTAACATGCCAAGCGCAAAAGATCCACTCGGGTCTCCAAATCTATATGGCACATGAATCAACATACCTTATCCCAATTCCGCCGTTTGAATGCATACCACACCTTAAATGCCCAATCATTCCACGAAAGATACTCTAAAATTCCCCTGTGTCGCCAAGAAAACTCGAATATCAGTAGTCGATCTAACAAGAAAGTACCGCAATTCTACCGAAGTACCATCAACTTAATCACATTGTCTTTCTAAAACATATAACCTCGTCAAATCACTCCCATTTAGCAATACCATTTCCTTAATCATCCGGAGATCATCCCCCTAATCATCTGAAACTGCACATGCTACCTAAGAATTCATGACTTTCCATTCAGAACTGAACTGTAACCTTCCACACGCAATTGTCAATCCTCCACAACCTGCCACATATACCATACCATCTCAGGATAACATGAGAACTCCATCTTCCTTTCGAGCCACAAACATCTACGTACTCAATTGGTCAAGAACTTTCCATTGGTCCCAATCTAGAAGAAAAATCACTATACATCCCATGCTCCACATGCCCATAGAAAATATACATCTCCCAACCGTGGTAAAAACCATCAAGAACTCTCCGAGTTCCCTTTGCACAAATCAGACATGTCAGGACTGAATCCTTCTAACTCGATCAAGCTAAGCAAGCCATCAAAACCTAAGAGCATCGCCACAAAATACTTGAAAGAACTCATTACCTCAAACACATACAAGGAATTAATCATATCCTTACCATACCGATTCGGTCTACTATCAAGCTACTCCATCTATCTTAATTTCCTTCTGATTCATCTTCAACTTGATATTCTCTCTTACTGTAGCACCAAAATTCCTCAACCTAGGATTACCACACGAGACCCAAGCATAAAACCACACTGTCTAAGACCCATAAGCCGTTGAATACCCTCTCAAATATTCCCAAAAACACCACATATGAAATACTTGCTCTAAAGAACTTCTTGTGAATCTAAATACGTTACCTCCTAATACTGATACATAGAATCCCACAATTAATATAGAAAACACCACAAGTCTTGACATCTTCCAAGGAAAACTCAGTCTCTAACCACATATACAACTTTAACTTACCCTATTGATACATGTAGAATCTTGAACACATTAGAACCACTCCTACGAGTTATTCACTCTACTCAAACCGCAATTAGTCTGATCAAATGAACCGATCAACCTGTGCCTCATTAGCATTCCGACACCGTAGAATGTGACATTATTCCATTACAACCAAGCAACTTCCTACTCTATGCATCGAGCATCCTTTACCAATAACAACTCAAGACATTTCGTGATTCTTACACAATTATGAAGCATACTATATACCTTGTTAAGAATTTTTCCTTTACTCGAGCCATCCTCGGTCTCAATTTCTGCAAGCCATAACTGATTCACCCGCACGCCTTCAACTAGCACCAACGTAGCACCTAACCGTGCAATCAACTACTCACAGCAGACTCCCCCACTTGCTTAGAGCCATAGATCAAAATACTCTCAATAACTCATAACACTTATACTCTATTGATGCCACAATACCATAGTGAGATTAAACTCAAATCTTTTATAAACTGGTGAAAACACAGATCATCTAGAATTTTAACTCTTCTGCAAATCTCGCAATTCACTCGCGCAACAGTCAAGCGTGCTCTCTGAAGTGACCCACATTCAATTTTTAACACTTATATTTCACTGGTAAGTGAGATCTTCTAACAGACACATAAAGATCACACAACCCCACAATTCTTCGCAGGGGATAACCCAACTGCTTTGCCTTCCATTAACATTTATGTATATCTTCCACTGTCACAAACCTTATGCAATCGCTTAGTCTTCCTGAGTCTGAACTCATATCGCAACATGAAATTTACTTCACTCTCAACTGGGAAACATGAAATGATCCTTCACATGCCCATAACTCGGGGCTATACCTTAAATCAAGGTGGAATTCCAGCACCTAATAGTTTTTCTATCCTCCAACAGGCCTTCCTTGCCGCTTCTAGATCATATGGATACATCTCGCAGTACTAACATGCTCATCACATAGTTATCCAACCGTCACTCCCACTAATAGGGACAATACCAAACATATAAGTTCAAAACACTTGATCACACAATCAGCACCTCGGTGCTCAATCCATAGGAAAAGATTCGGCCTCAAGTCCTCTAGACTGCCCAACATCAAACTCACAAAGATCACATCTCGCCTTTGATCAGGGGATCACAAGCCATCAGGGCACTTCTAACACTGAGCGCACATGCGCGCATATGAACACGTGGAAGGAATTTCAAGAGTTACTTTTCAAGCTGAATCAAGGACGCACGATGAGAATTCAAGAATGTGAAGTTTTTCCTAATGGTTCTACAGCCTCCTGAGGATAAATACAGACGTCTCCGTACCGATCCGCGAGACTCTACTAAATCTGCTCATGACTCGGAGAACTATGTAGCCTAGGCTCTGATACCAACTCGTCACGACCCAAATCCTGACCCTGGTCGTGATGGCGCCTCTCGTGAAGACAAGGCCAGCCAGTCTAACCCAACTCGTCCTTTAAAATAGTAATTTAACACAAATATAGTATAAACATGGTTTAATAGTACCAAGTAACAGAAAGTATGAATAAGAAATGCAAAAATCCAGCCCGACACAGCCCTAACCGGGGTGTCACAAGTCACGAGCATCTACTAGGGCATAAATACAACTAAAAGCATGGAGTGTACAAATACAGACTAATGAAATGAGGAGAGAGAAAAGCAGTACTGCGAACGCCGGCAGCTACCTTGCTAAACTCTGATGACTCAGCCTCCGATCAGCCAAAACATACCTGAATCTGCACACAAGGTGCATGGACTAATGTGAGTACTCCGACTCAGTGAGTAAAAATAATAAATAAAGACTGAAGGCAAGAAATCACGCAAAACCACAAGGCATTCCATACTGAAGCAGTAAAATCACTTTAAACAGTAAAGCAGTGAGAAATCAAGTGAAAATCCCTTTTTCCAACAAGTAAAGCAAGTAGTTTACAAGTGAGTAACAAAATGATAGAAATGTAAACAGCCCCTCGGGTAAAACATGTACAACAAACCGCCCATCGGGCATAATATTAATAGAACCAGCCTCTCGGGCTCAATATCAGAACAGTAACAACGCCTCGGGCTATCTCACAATCAGTCATATCAGCCCCTCGGGCATAGTATCAATCACACAGAATAATGGGTACCCGCGCTGACTATGGGTGTGCAGACTCCGGAGGGGCCCCTTACGGCCCAAGCGCTATATCAAGCCATCTCGTGGCATCATCTCTCGACACTCGGCCTCACATCACTCAGGCCACCTCGTGGCATATAAAGTATCTCAGGCCCTCGGCCTCATATCACTCAACATATCCTCACATATGACCCTCGGCCTCACTCAGTCCGAAAATTATCACAAACCTCTCGGGCATTTGTAAAACAGTAGTCATCAACTCAAAACATCATTTAGAAATATCATTTATGTTTCAAATCTGAGTAAAAGTGGCTGAGTTTGTAAAATAGTAGATATCAACAGGACTGAGTTCAAGTAATGAGTCAAAACAGTGAGGAAATAGTGACAAAATTTCCGAAAGGTTCAAATAGTTGGCAGAAAGCCCAAATATGGCAATCAACCCAAATCATGATGATAACAAACAAATTTCAGTCAAATACGCGGTAAAATCATCGACTGGGACGGACCAAGTCACAATCCCCAGTAGTAAAAGACTCCACGCTAATCATCCAGTGCATGTCTCACCTTAATATAGCACTACGATGTGCAATCTGGGGTTTTAAACCCTCAGAATATCATTTACACTTATTACTCACCTCGATCCGGTCCAAAATCTAGCCCGCGATGCCTCGCCCGCATGAATCGACCTCCGGATGCTCCAAATCTAGCCACAATCAGTACATAATCATTAAAATATGCTAAGGGAGCGAAGCCCACTCAAAAATATCCAATTTAACATCAAAATCCCGAAATTGCTCAAACCCGGCCCCCGAGCCCACGCTTTAGAATTCGATGAAACTCACAAAATCTGACAACCCATTCAACCACGAGTCCAACCATACCAAAATTACTAAATTCCGATAACAATTAGGCCTCCAAATCTTCAAATCTTATTTTCAAATCCCTAGGTCCAAATCCCCAATTTACACCTCAAAAACATGCAATCTAGTCGAATTATTCAATGATAATTCAATATTATGGAGTAGAAATGATCACAAGTGACTTACCTCAAGATTTCCCATATTTCTTGCTCAAAAATCGCCCCAAGCCGTGTTCTTTCACAAACAAAAGGTCAGAATGAGCAAAAAAATGCAACAACTTTAATAAATCTGATTCTGGTCGCTAAAGGACCCATTCCCATCACTAAAAGTCCCAAATCTGGTCGCTAAGGGTGCGCACCAGATCCTGCTGCACCAGCAATATTTATTTTCACTAAAGAGTCTCTAACTGCACCAACTGCACCATACGAACTCAGAATTCGATGATTCTTATTCTTATGAGTCACAAATAATGATACGAACATAGTCCTTCAATCGAAACTCAATTCGGAGCTCGTTTGCTCAGTGCGATATCCATTTCCCCAGTTAAATAATTAACTCATGATTCGCGAAAAAAACCCAATCGCGACTTGATAAAATTAGACCAAACTTTCCAGATCGCTCCTATAATTCATCATCAAAATTTCAAAAGTCTCAAAATCAAATTTCGATCTCTAGAACTAAAGATGGACCTTTGGATCATTACATGCTTATGCTCAATATGCCAAAAATCTTTCAAAAACTCTTCCAAAACATATCCGAGCCTCATGGGACCCCAGCCAAACATGCCAACACACCCGATAATATAATTCAAACTTGTTCCAACCTTCAGAACGCTCAAAACAACATCAAAACATCAAATCACCAACGGATTCAAGCCTAAGAGTTTCAAAACTTCCGAATTCCGAATTCGATCAAAAAGTCTATCAAACCCCGTCCGAATGACCTGAAATTTTGCACACACATCATAAATGTCAAAGCGGATCTACTCCCATTTCCGGAGTTCCATTCCAACTCCGATATCAAAATCTCACCTATCAACCGGAAAATACCGAAATCTCAATTTCGCCAATTCAAACCTAAACCTTCCACGGACTTCCAAAATGCATTTCGATCACGCTCCTAAGTCTCAAATCACCTAACGGAACTAACCAAACCATAAAAATTCTAATCCGAGATCAAATACAAACAAGTCAAACCTTCGTCAAACTTTTCAAATTTTAAGCTTTCAACTGAGACTATTCTTCCAAATTCATTCTAATTAACCTGAAACGCAACACCAACGATGTTCATAAGTCATAATACACCACATGGGGCAAGTCATGTCCGAGAACTAGCGAGCGAAGTGCAAAAACTCAAAACGACCGGTCGGGTCATTATAATTACACAAGAACTTCAAAATGAAGGATCTAGGTAAGTTCAGGTACTTCTTAGGAATTGAAGTGATGAGATTAGATAAAGTCATTCTTCTAAACTAAAGAAAGTATGCATGTGTTGGAGCTAATTTCAAAGGTAGGATTGAGTGACTACAAGCCAGTCTCAACACCTATGGAATCACAACCTTACTACTGTTGACTATGACAAGCATGTTGGTAATACTGGAGATGCTCCACTGAAGATTCATGTCGTTATCAGAAACTAATTGGTAAATTGCTATATTTGACAATTGCAAGGCTTGACATATGTTTTACAATCCAAGTATTGAGCCAGTTTATGCAATCTCCTAAGGAGTCCCATATGGAAGCAACATTAAGAATGGTTAGATACATCAAAGGAAGCCCTGGACTAGGAATCCTTTTGAGCAATGGACAAACCAATACTCTCAAAGTATATTGTGATTCAGACCGGGCAGCATGCCCAAATACAAAAAGATCTATCATAGGTTATGTGGTTAAATTGGGAGACTCATTGTTATCTTGGAAGTCAAAGAAGCAACAGACAGTGAGAAGAAGCTCTGCAGAGGCTAAATATAGAAGCATGGCAGCAGCTGTTGCAGAAGCAATATGGATGACAGGTTTACTAAAGGAGCTAGGGAACAATGTAGAAAAATCTGTACACTTACATTGTGATAGCAAAGCATTTCGAGCCCATAATTGCCAATCCAATCTTTCATAAGAGGACCAAATATATAGAGATATATTGTCATTTCGTCAGGGAAAAAATCAAACATTTCCTCGAGGAAAGAATCAAACAAGGATTGATCAAGACAGAGTATATACCCACAAAACAACAACTTGCAGACTTGATGACTAAAGGACTGGGGACAGCTCAACATGAGTTGTTACTCTCCAAGCTAGGAGTGTTGAATGTCTTCCACCCTCCAGCTTGAGGGGGAGTGTCAACACAGCTAGAGGAACAACTCAGTTAAATGAGCGAGGGATCAATTTATAATTACTGAAAACTAGAGGGAGCTGAAAGAAGAAGGTTGTTAGAATTCAGTTAGTGCGCCTTCTTCTTCTATATAACAAGTTCCACTTGTATGAGATTGAGTAATGAAAACATTTCTTCTTCCTTCTCCTCTTTCTCTCGAATGTTCTTAGCTTCTAAGGCAATGTACTCTGCCTTGCATGGCATAGCATAGAACCTCCATTGTCGAGCAAATCTTACCACTGCCCAGCTCAACTTAACACTTTGAAGGAAAAAGATGATGGTGCATCTTGAAATACTAAAGTGGTACGCTCTTTTAGCTTTGAGCTTCGATAATCTTAGTGTGAGGTCAATAACTTATCAAAAGAATCTTAATGTGCAGTAACCATGTACATATATTCCGATGCTACATTAGCCAAGAGCATAATCAAAACACATCTATAATCACATTAACACTTTTCCAAGAATTAAATGAAACACTAAAGTTTTAGGGCAATTGTAGCTCATAAAGACACGGAAGGCAAGTTTTATAAAGAATATAAATGCACTCGGTCACCTTAGGGGTGGAAAAATAGATAATTTTGGTTCAATTTATGCAAGCTAAATGCTAAGGAAAAAAATATAAGGGAACAGAAGAGCAGTACTTACCGAAACCAAAATTATGAAAAAATAGATGCAGGAAGAAGATGGAACAAAAGAAAGCAAGTAAAGCATCATATTTAGACAAGCGCATCCAAAAGAGTTCGAGAAAAAAATCAAAATTTCAGCAGCAAAGAATTCAATTATAGACATGCAATTGAGAAGCCAAAAAGAGAGCAAGTAATTTGTGCTCTATTGAATTCTGGTTTAGAGGAAATCAATTCATATTTGTTTGGCTCATGCTGAGCACCAAAAAAGCTCTTGCTCGTTAGAAGTATGGCGTGTGCAAAAGAGGTACAAATAGTTCATGCATGTCTATCAGAATGCCAAGACTAAAAAATATGAGATGAATAAGATTTATTAGATATATAAAAGAATCAATTTTTAAAATGGATTATTCAAAAAATAACAAAAGAGATTTTTGATCAGAAGCAAACCCGAAGCTAATCAATCAATAACCTGGAATTCTGAGTTGTTGTAAAGAAAACATGAAGAACAAAAGAACGCAGAAATATAGTGAAAGGCGAAGATCAATTAGAACAAAATAGAGAAACTTTGTTAAAGGAAACAGTTAATGTCACAAAGGAGAGAGCCAAAAGATGATGGACGGGAAGTGCAAAAAGGTGAAGATGAAGGGGGATTCGGAAAGAAAAAAGTAACTCTAGTACAATTGAAGGCCACGTAGTGATAGTGGCTACTGGCTAGCGATGTTTAGACACGTACATACAGCTGCAAACCTAAGCTTTGAAATGACAAAAATACCGTTATAATGAATTTTTAATGGCCAAAAACAGGCACGTCGAAACCCAAGCTTTTTCTATATAATAGACTAGACGGTAATTGCCCGTGCCAGTACGGGCCCAATAGTATAGAAGATGTAACTTTTATTTTTAATCAATTTCATTTTGATATGAGAATCAGAGAACTAAATTAGTCGGTAGTAATTAACATACTTTCTAAACATTGTCATGCATCTTTGTTTGTGCTTCATTATACCATAAGCTCAAATTTAGCATGCTCCAAAGAACTCCTGCCAGTAAAAAGAGTGCAAGTACACACGAATACACCACACATAGCTGCACAACATGCAATAAATACATTAGAACTAGAAACCTCCTTCCACTCTAATAAAATTTATTTAACTACTATAACAAAATTATACCAAACACATGGAAAAAGGGGTAGCTGTAGGCAAACCCCAATAATTGTATCCTGCCATAAAGGAATTCGAGAGTAGCCGGCACATAGGCATAATGAACGCAAGGAATTCGCTCATCATGGCTTATCTCTTCATTTTCATTTCTCATGAAAAAAATAAAAGGTCTTTATGGAACAAGTGTACAATTGCATATTGACTATTTAATATGAACGTACTTTCACCTTTATTAATCTGCATACTTCTTCTCTAGTACTCTATCATTATTGCAGCAGTTGCGCCAATTATAGGACGCGAAATTTCATTTTACATGCTTGCTAGATTTTCATCTTTTTATGTACAAGTGTACTGGAAAAACATTTAGGGGAAGAAGTAGAAGAAACAAACTCATTCTTTTATGCTCGAAATGAAATTATAGCCTATTAAGTGTTTTTTTTTTTTTGGCCAAAAGTGCTTTTTTAGCTAATAATATTTTTTCACAAAATTAAGATATTTGGTCAAACTTTTAGAAGGAAAAAATTACTTTTGAGTAGAAGTAGACGTTATTTTTGAAAATTTAAAAATGCTTCTCCGGTTGATTTGTCAAACACAAACTGCTTCTCACCATCTAGTTGTAACGGAGGCAATTTTAGATTTTCACAATGAACATTCCATTCAGGTATTGTCACTCATCTCATTATAGGAACAGAGTTAGTTTCTTCTTTATCCATCTTCAGTNCCCCCCACAAAAAAAAAGTCCTTTCTTAGCTACATCAACATTTGAAGATGATGTGAGTCATAACTTGAATAGACTAAATCAATGTGATAAAATGAGAGAATTGACAGTTTAAGGATTTTTAGCAACAAAATCCGATGCTGAGCAAAGACTAGGAATGAGAAAGTAATAATAAGGGTTACTGCAGAAAGAGAAAAATTACCAGGAATCAACCCTAATATATACTTCATACTTGTATAAACTTAGACTATAAATAATTGCAATCCATAAATTAAATATAAATGAGTGCTAAATAAAAAACTGCAGACAAATTACAACTTTATTTGGTTATACACAGTACATAAAAGATTGTTTAGCGTAAATCGATTACTTTGCCTCTTAAAATTACAACTTCAGAAGCTAAAAAGCTAACAGCTTGAAAAAGACATTACATGAGACATTACACGACATTCATCATTCACCAACATCTAGCTAGCGCCAGATTGTTCGTTTAATCCTTCGTTTAATCTAACAAACCATTTACGCCCTTTGTCCCATTTTACGTGCACACTTTTTTTTTAGTTCGTTTCAAAACGAGTAACAAGTTCTTATATCTAGTATAACTTAAAACTTACAATTTTACCTTTAATGAGATATTGTATAGTCATACAAATGTCTACGGCTTGTTTTAGAACACAAATTTTAGAAGTCTTTCTTTGTTAAACTACGTGTCAAGTCAAGCTACACCACATAAAATGAGACAGAAGTACTAAAAATTATCACAACCCAAGAATCACAAACCATTAGTTAGTAATTATCTACTGTTAGTCTGCAATAGACACTAGAAATTTTCTAAGCAACAAGAACAACAGCAAAAATCAAGAAATCAAGCTACAAATGCCCCCACGATATTACAACCTTGAGCAGACAAAACTTTACATGTTAATTGCCAACGAGAAATTATTATCCACTTAATAATTTCTAACATGAACTAAACTGCTTCAAGGGTAGAATTTGTATTAATGCTAGCCTTTGAATTTAGCGGTCCTTATATATCGTATTATCAATCAAAATACGGTCCAAAGATAAAATCACTATTTGATAGGGCTTCTTCCTAAACCTATGAATTTTATAGGACCTTGACCCCCAAGAACAAAAGACAAGAGGCAGACTTAAAACTTATAGCAGCAATAAGAGAGAGTAAAATCTAAGTACAAAAGAGAAAAATTTTATCACAACGTTGAAGTTTTGTATCTGGTAAAATAAAGACAGTGAATGCTTACACAGTACAGCAAACAGTAATCCTCCTTTCATAATCCTATGAAAGGAACGAAGACCAGGAATGAGAAATTGATGACAAGGGTAGAGTTACTGCAGAAAAAGAATAATGGGAATCAAACTAAAGAAGATTACCTGAACTAAAACCCAATAGCTGAAGCCTTTATGTAGATGGTGCAAAAACTCGAATCTCGTTCCTGTTATTCAGACACAGATAAACAAAATCAGCAGTAGTTTACCGTGACAGAGCCATGAAAAAGCAGAACCGAGGAGATGAAATTGAAGAAAAGAAATATTAGAAGAGAAGAACCCAAAAGATTACGAAACAAGAAAAAAGGATTAGGATAAAATAGAATAAAATTCGGGGAAAAGATATGAAGAAATGAAGTAAACAACTCCAAACTTTATTAAGAAGTGTGAAGTTATACCCAATTTTTTTTTCCTATTTATTAGGCTTACACCTATATCAGTGTCATCAACTCAGAATCACAGAAATCAGAGGTACTTGAGATTAGGACAAGATGAAGAGATTGAAAGTAGTATATCATCGGAGGAATCTATGATGGCTGAGATTGTAACAGAGAAAAAAAACCCCTAATTTCAACCATCAAAACCCTAACTCGAAAATCTGTAATTAATTCACTCTATTTTAACAAATTTAAAACAAAAAAGAAGGAGAAAGAGATAGAAAACAATAAAATTGATATTAAGGAATAAGAAAAGCACCTGCATAAATTGAAGAGATGAGGAAGACGAAGATATCTGAAGCTTGTCAATTGTGATGTACAGAAATCCAATAAAACCCACCTATGTAATAACGTAAACGTACACGTAATAGTTGGGTAGATATAAAAAAGCCACGTATACAGATAAGCTCAAAAGTCTAATATGCCCTCAAACAAAACTTAAATTACACATAAGCAAGCATGTCGAAACTCATGCTCTTCTAAAGAAGAGAAAAATTCTGACAAAGTTGATGAAGGGATCAAACGACAATGCACGCGGTTTGGGCTTCCTCCACAGGGCGGATGCAGCATAGAGTTAATGGGTTCAACTGGATCCAGCACTTTTAATGCGGAGCATAAATTTATATGTAAAAATCACAAAAAATATAATAAATAATAGATATGAACCTATAACTTTACAATATAATGGGTTCAATGTTAAAAGCTTTAAATATTGAACCTATAGAACTAAAATCATAGATCCGCCTATGTTCCTCCCTCTTTCTTCGGATTTTGTTCGATAGTTAGACGACGAAGCATAATAATAGATTCGCGACACATATAGTCAGGAGGATCAAAGTGTAGGCAGCTTGGAATTCCTCTCGGATCGTTGAATTGTTCGAGACTTGTTCCTTATTATTGCCATTGATCTTTACATATATATGGCGTAATATATAGTGGTTGTTTATGCTGTCTCTTTAGGTTTGCAACAATTAGATTTATCTTAATTTATTGTCTCTTTATTTTTAGTGGTATTATAACAACAAACAATATATTCAGTATAATTTTATAAGTGGAGTCTCGGGAAGATAGTGTGTACACAGACCTTATACTTACCTCGTGTAGGTAGATCGGATGTTTCTTAATTTATTGCCTCTTTATTTTTAGTGGTGTATATATATACTCGTTTCCTATTTACTATCTTTGTTGTATCACTTTTCTGAGTATTCTATTATATCAATTATATTATATTGTCTACACCTATAGGTATGGGCAATTGAACTCTATTATTCTAATTGAACTTCTCACTCGTTTCCTATTTACTATCTTTGTTGTATCACTTTTCTGAGTATTCTATTATATCAATTATATTATATTGTCTACACCTATAGGTATGGGCAATTGAACTCTATTATTCTAATTGAACTTCTCGTCTGATACATGGGTGTAGTTATACATCTCATAGTAAAGAGTCCTACCATTTATCTATTCTTAAATAGACAGATTGTGTTCATCACCACTGTATTTACTTTGTGTCCAAGACTTATCCCCACATAACCATAAACTACACAAACAGGGCGGAGCTAGAGTGCCGGGAGTGGGTTCGGCTGAATCCAGTAACTTTGATTTGAACCGTATATTTATCTTAACAAAATCTATTGAATATATATGAATTATTAATTTAGAACCAAGTAACTTAAAATGATTAGAATTTTGAACCCATAAGTTTGAAATCCTGGCTCCGTCTCTGTACACACAAACACTAATAACACTTACCCCATACGGTTAGGACTAGAATTACACCTACATACACACGACTAAGAGTCATATTATCTAACAAGTCCTATTGTTAGACACAGAATATGAACCATAGTTGATTCACCAAACAACTCAGAATAAATTAAAAAACATCAAAAATTGGGTGTGTTTGGTAAGAAGAAAATCTCTTTAGGAAATTATTTTCAGTGGAAGATGTTTAACCTTGGGAAATCTTTTTATTTGTAGCCATTTTTCATAAGATTAACCGATATATGGCAATTACTCAAGAAGTAGATTGAGCCCTATTTGCAAGCCTCATTAATAGCTTGTTTGGATGATTGTTATACATTATATCATATTGTATTGTTATCCCAAAATAATGTTTGTTTTGATTGTTTAGTTATAATTGGTTATATTGTATTGTTAAATCTATTGTTCCGAAACAATAAAAAGTCTCATTTTTTGAAACAACCAAATTGGTATGGTGGGATTATTTCCTATTGTTCTTTTTGTTTCGTTTTTCTCCTACTTTGATTTTAACTCCAATTCTAATTACTTTAATCTCCAATTAGATGTATAATATTAGTTGTTTTCAAGTGTGCATAGTGTTACTTATTTATCTTCGTTCCTTTGTTCTGCCAACTGTATGGTCTTCGTTCGTTTCTCTATCATTGTTCTTTAGTATTTTTTCTAATGATAATTAATTAGTCTTTGATTTTAGTAAAAAGGAATTTTCTTAAATTATTTTATGTGTAAATCTTGAAAATTTTAATATTTAAAACAATTGAGGGTATTTTAGTAAACTTATCAGTTACAGTACAATACGATAGAGTCAAACCAAACAACAAAATGTTATTTAACAATAACAAATAATACAATCTATCCAAACATTGTATTCATAAAACGGTATGATACAATACCATACATTATGAAACGATGGATAACAATGATCCAAACAGAGTGTAAAGTGGGAAATAAACTATGTCAATTATTGATAATTGCACTGTCTTAGCTAGCCGGGGATAATTATGCAAGACTCTGTATTCAAACCTCCATAGAGCAACCTTTAATCAATCAATATCACCTTGGTAGACATAAACAAGTTGTTATAAATGAGCGCAAAATCACGACACTTAGCCTCGCGATCGTGGAGAGTCAAAGGTGGACCTTTTGCGTCCGCGATCCAACCTTTGCGATAGCATAGAACAAAATACCCCCAAGATGGCCACCCCAATTACCTCTCACAAAAGATGCTTTGCATTTGCATAAAACTTTAATTTCCCCTTCTGCCTCACCACGATAATGGCTTGGTACATGAGATAATAGATAACAACAAATGTCTACAACATCCCATTGAGTTTTAACTGTGCCGAAACACCCCCTAGCCTTCGGGTTTCGACCCCGAGCATTCTCACAAGTCACAAACAATTACGTGAACTTACTAGAGGTCTCAAAACATATCTCTAACAAATATACAAATCAAAGGGGCAGATTGTTACAAAATTCACTCGAAATTAGGTCAGCAATTCCGAACAAATTAAATGCGTAGTCAGCTAATTAATGTGTTTGCTATGTGACTTCACTAGATGAAAAAAAGAAACGTATAAACAAAATGAAAAATGCTTTATTAGAAGACCATGTTTAACAGCATAAAATTACAATTGTCGGTTAACAGAATAACGTAAACAGATGAAAGGAAAGGAACATAGACATTCAAACTCCTACTTCTCTCCAAGGGAAATATATACTCCAATTTTTAAAAGAAAAATTAAACCTTTTTGGGAAAATCATTTCTCTTTGTAAGGAAGAAAGAGTTGGAGAGCAAGCAGAATTTCTGAAATGTGGTTAGTCCAGCCCTTTTTATGTTTGCTTTACCAAGTATAATATAACTCGTAATTTTGGAGGATCAATAGCTCATATGGGAATTCCAATTTGATTCTCTCTCTTCGTATGCCCTTTATTTTATTTTGCTCTAAATATCTCGGGCTTTCTTCAGAAAAGTGATGGGATAGTTGGGGATAAAAACATCTCAGATGCAGACTTTGATATATACTGTACTTCGAAGAAATGTGTTCGAACTTCAAACTGAAAGCCCAAAAACCTAGTATTAGGGTTAAACATGTAATCTTCTTTACCTTTAACCAATTTAATAGATTTATAGTTGTCAATATCTTTTATTGCCGAAAAAAACATTGTCCACTTTAAACCTAATTTTGCCAATTGTTGGGGTGCTAAAAACAAAGTCAAACTACACTAATTCATACCAAGAAAATGTTGGAAGGTTGATTGCATGCCAAATTAATAAGCACTATTTTTGGCAATTTATTTACTGCCATTTTTGTTTAATATATTGCATTAGATTAATTTTCATAAAACTTCATGCAAAAATAAGTTTTGATACGATATGTTTTATGAACCCAACAAATATTTGGAGGACACATGAAAAAGTTGAATTTGATTAATCCTAACTTTTTTTAATTGAAAACAAGCAAATGGAGTCCAAATTCAAACTACTTGCAACATTGAATCTTGCTAAATGCCGTAACTAACTTGTTTGCTTCCCAGTCCAGCAAAATTTATTATCTTATATTTTTCTAACTAAATCAAATTTGATGGCCACTACTTGGTTTGAGCATTAGCTCATTTGCAAACCCATGGAAAATTCAGGTTATTTAGGCCATGCGAATGAGATGACGTGCGGTTGACTTGCATAAATAGGGTACCGAGAATGAGACATTTTGGTATCACTATTGATTTTTGGAACCCGGTAACAGAAGACATAATAATTCGTCAATACGAACAAGTAAAAGAATTAAACCTTTAAAATTGAAAAATGAAAAAGAAAAAGGGAGTTTGTCTAGGAGAAAAAATCTAGGTAGAAAATGCCAAATTAGTAGATACAGATTCTTTACATATACGAATTGGTATAATCTGAAGCAAAGTCGACACCCTCCCGTGTAGTTGAACTTTACATAATAAAGTTTTTGTTACCTATTATAAAAGTGATTGAAATGAAATTTAGTTATCATCTAGTAAGATATCAGACTATCAGTATTTAATTGTCAGAATTCAAGTTTATATACTGATAGTGTAAAAAATATTCACAATATGAAGTCATTTATAAGATAATATATTACATGCATATTTTTGTAATAACATTAATTGATAACTTGATAAAAATAGCAAGCAACCTGCAATTTATATTATATTAAAAGGAGAGTAGTGAAGCATGTGTTAAGCCAAGTGGCAAGCTAAAAAGAAGCTACTTGGCAATTTAAAGACAACATTAAAAATTTGAATCATAAATGGAAACATAACTAATGGAAGTAGTTAATGATGCTTATATTTAATCTAAATAGATTTTAGACAAATTTAATCTATATATCTACATTTAAATTTATATTTATAAGTATATTTATATCTATATTGATTCACCCATAGATTATTTTTTTTATTAGCTAGAGATATGGAGGTAAAAATTAATTAAAAATTCTAATCGAAAAAAATAAAAAAAAAATATAGAAAGACGTAATTGAGATAACCTATGACTATTTATACATTAGAGTAAGTTAAAATATAAAATAAAATTAAAATTTACTTAAGTTATTAAAGATATATTGAGT